AGCTCAGCTCACCAAAGCCTCCTTAGAAGAGCCACATCCTCTGTCTTTAGCTGCCCGCCTTCTTTTACAGATGCTCTTTGAGTTTTACACAAGGCTTCTCTCTCTCCTTAACACTGACAAGAGTTAAGAAATAATCAGCAAATTTGATTACTTGAGTCATATTGTTATGAATAATGAATCAGATATTAGAAAAAAGGAATAGTTTTATCAAGCAGGGACAGCATACAAACAACTAAGCAAAAGAGCTCTTTCCTGGCCCGCTGAGAAACATTTTGTTCCTTTTCTTACACTTTTTTTTCAGTCATAGATGAAAATACTCCTTAAAGTGGCAGCTATCCACAGAGAGCACACGGCATCTTTCTGAAATAATATTTACCTAAAACGCTGACATTTATGCCCTCCCTGGAAAAGGCTGCGCGCTGCTCTCTGCTCAGGTCTGCTGCTAGATACACACGAGTTTCCAAGCCTGCCCTGTTTATGTGAACGCTCTTGCTCCGAGCTAGCTTTGCCAGCGGCCTCGGCTCGCACCGGGACTGCTAATAAATAACCGCCCCGGGGCAATAGATTTGCTCTGCTAGTGTGTGCAGGGAGGGAGGAATGCAGGCAGCAAACCTTCGTGCTTCCCAGTGGAAAGAATTCCCTGCTCRGCTTGCGTTACAGTAACGGTGACGTGGCAGCAGGCACCAAGGCTTAACTGCCCAGGAAGTTTTGGAATATATTAAGATTTTAGATCCATTGTTCAGGGTGAGGCTGCATTGCTTTCATGCTGTTTTAGATACTTCTTCATTCTATTTTTCTAGATACTGCTTCATTCTATTTTTAAGCTAACACCAGGCCACCGTGTAGCCTTCAGGTTCTGATCCTCCTGACACCATCCCTGCAGGGCAAGGAAGATCTAGTTCATATTCCAAATATATTAAGTTAACCTGTCTCACACAACGTTATCCAAAACCTGTCCAAAACCCTTCCATCTATGTCCATCAGATTATCTAGGTGCAATTACTCATCCTCCTCAGTTGGTACAGATTCTCCTCAAAATGCACATCCAAGACAGGTGTTAAAACACAGAGCAAAAAGCAATAACCGGAGGAGCTAGAGGAGCGTGAACCAGCCCTAGGGAAGAAAACGAGCATCGCACTGGAGAGAAAGGACCAATGCAGCCGCATGCTCCCACGTCCAAGGAGGCCAGGAGCAGCCTGTGTGCGTCTGAGCTGACAGAYACTGTGGGATGGGAGGCCGATGAAGGCTGGGATGCAGCGGGAAAACTGTTTGGGCCTTTTCCCCACATGTGCCTGAGTCAGGAGCAGCCCAGAAAGCTGACCTCGACCACAGGATGTTTATCAAGGGACCTTTTTTCCCAAAGGARCTTGAAGCAAGCTCATCCTGCTGAATCCCCTGGCTGCTCACAATCCAGAGGAATCAGAAACATTTGGACAGAGTAACTGTCCTGCCCAGGAGAAATTTCTGCCCCAGCAACACCCTCAGAACCTCCCTCACGCATGAGATGCCCAGATCACTTGGACACTTCTGTCCGCCTCTCCTTCAGCTGCTCAGGCCTCCCGAAAGTTAGTGCTAGAACCTGACTTTAAATATTGCATGCAAGCCCTCATAAACAAAAGATTTTCAGGCTTCTCTGTTCTCAGGTCACCTTCTTCAGGCATCCAGATCCCCCATCGAAGCCCCAAAACACCTGGCTCTCTGCTTAGGGATCCAGCACTTAGGTTTAAGGTTCGAGATTCAAACACCTGAATCTCAATATCTATCACGCACTTGGCAATGAGTGTTTTCTTTAGAGTGATTTAAAGAGAAATACTTCCTGCATTTTAATTTTCTTTCCTGTATAAAGTTTTTACACAGCGCTGGAAAAAATCAGAGCACGTGGGTTGCAGCATTTCAGTCCGCTAACAGCAAAAAACCCCCGTCTGCCTCTTACTCCTAAGAGCAGAAGACTCGTAACACAGATTGCAAATAGTTATGTTACTGGGAACGATAATGTTTCTTTCTGCTTTCGTTTCCCTTGGGTGATATTTATTGTGGTAGGGGTTGTGTAAGCACATAAAAGAGAGATCATGTATTATTTATCAGCTTGGAGATGGGAAAAGACCCCAGCCTTCCACGGGGGGACCAAATCCAAAGCAGTTCTTATCTGCTAAAAATCTCATCCTGTCTGTTTGTGGCTTGGGGGAAAGCTGGTTAAAGCAAATGAGAAGCAGCAGCAGGAGCCGGGCAGGGGCCAAGAACTTCCCCTTCCAGCCCATCACACCCTGGAGGGGACGGTCCTGATCCGGCCTCAATGCGCCCCCCAAACCTCAAACAGCAAAAMTTTACTCTTAAGAACCCCAGCAGTGTTAGAGGCTCCACAATTGTCCCTGCAACATCATTTCCAGGGCACATAGGAAAAACCTAGTAAAACACGTCATTAAAGGCTAAAAACCTCCAAAAAACAAAATCAACCCTAGGCTCTCATACACACACACACAAAAACAGCACAGCTACTGAGAAATAAATTAATGAGGAAAAATTACAAGCAACTTAGGACTTTAAATAATTTTCTAATTTAAGGAAAGCAACAAGAAAAGATCGGCTTTTATTTTTGTAATTAAGGTATTATTTATGGCAAATTAACCTTTTTGAGATTCAGCCKGCATCTCGTGCTGTGGAAAACTCATCTGCTTTACTCACAGGGCTTCTCATGAGGCTCCCCAGCAGATGCAGCCAGAGCTCCATGCRCTCCCGAGCCTCTGCAGGAAGCACCAAGGATTCACCCCATGGTGGCCAGACCATGGCAGTCAGCAGCGGTTCCCCGGCCAAACTGGGGTATCCACAAGGTGGAAAATAAACCTTCCTAGCAAATGAGACCCTGTTTGGTGGGAGAAAGGGGGAAAAGCCACTGGCTCTGGGTGTGCTGCAGCCCTGGTGCTGTGGAGTGGACAAGGGCCACCAAGGAGTCACCCGGCAAAGGCTTTTTCATGCTTGCTCCTGGGCACTAATGCAGCTTAGGGCAGAAACCATTGCTGTGCCAGGAGAAAAATAAATGCATCTCAGTTTTCCCTGCAAAGGACATTTATGCACATCCCGTGGGGTATTTTTCCATTTGCAGAGCAGTTAGTCATAACTTAGAAAGGCCGGGAAAGAGAAAGCTGAAGATGGGACAGTCTTGGGAAGACACCAGGGACCTGCAGGACTCACAAAACTCTCCCTCTGATTTTATGGAGATGTCATTGACAAATCACCTGCAGGCTGGGCAGCCTCCTCATGCCTCCAGTGCTCACCAGCCCCGTTGCCAGCTCCTCGTCCTGCTGGTCCCTGCCTCCCAGATAGCCCATCCCAAGCATTATACGTAGATCAAGAAGGAAACCCCGTCTCCAAGAGCAGCACAGGTGGAAGAATAACCGGAAAAGAGAGGAGGAAAATAAATAAAGATTAATAACAACAGCCAAAGCCTCCCTGTGAAAGGGAAGGGCTCATCTCAGGTTAGGATGTAACACACACACAATGGCTCTGCCAAAGACCCTCCAAAGCTGCCGAGTGAGGAGATTTAGGCACATGATAACTTTTAAGTGTCTTAATAGACTTACTGACGGCAAAAGGGGTTTAATTCAGGTACTTAAAGCTTAGCAGAAGATTAAGAACATGCTTGAACAGGGCCTCAGGGGAGGCTGAGATTTTCTATTTTATTTACAACTGATTTGACCCTATGATTTTTTTTTCTCCTTTTCATTTGATATCCCAGGGCTGAGACATTATGTTAATTGAAACGATGACCCATCCAGGACCGCTGGCTACAACATCTCGTCACAAGCAGCTTTGCTGCTCGCTTGGATCCCTGTGCAGGGAATGTGGAAAGCGTTTTGTGGGGAAAATGTGGAAAGCGCTCCGTGCTTCCTCCCATCAAGTTACCCCGTGATCATCGTCGCTTTCTTCCTCCTCCCCAGCCCTGTCCCTGCCCCCTTCCCCTTTTCAAGTGGCAATGTGTTAAACTAAAGTATAAGCCGCGCTTATCTGATGCGCGGGAGCTGGGGAGAGGGAGCTGGCTATCTGCCAGCAGCTAACAGCAGCATAAAAGCAATTTGATGAAGAAGAATTAACATGCTAATTATCAGACTGGAGAGGGTTCTGGGGACCATACAGAAGATAAAAAGAAGACGTTTTCTGTTTGTGCTGGGGCGACCTATTTCAATAGTAAAGATTTAAGGAAGAGAGGAAGCTTTCGATGCCATATTCTCCCACTCCGTCCCGTTCTCCGGCACCCTCCCGCTCTGCAGACCTCGAGCCGCAGCCCGCAGCACTCCCTGGGGCTTGGCAGAGCATCTTCTCCCTTCAGCATCCCGGCACTGCCGGGTCTCAGGGCTCGGGAAACGGGCAGCACCGGAGCACAACTCTGCCCTGCTCGGCGCGGGAGGAGAACGTCCCGTTGGACACAATGACGTGAATCCCGCGGGCAGGGGAGGCTGCACGGGAGAAAATCCCCCTCCAACTTCAGCTGCTTTTTCTCTTTTGATTTCCTACACAAAGTGACCTCGGGCACATTTTTTTTTTTTCTTTTTAATTATTTTTCCCCCCCCACAAGGAGCTTCTGAAAAGCCAGAGCAGAAGCCAAGGCTCTCGCTGCTGGGTGCACCGGGCRCTGCAAACCGGGAGTCAGCTCCGCTCCGCGCGGCGCCGGGATGACATCGGGAAGTGAGGAAACCTGACCAGAATTCAGCGGGATGCCAAAGCGGCAGCTTTTTCTTTCCACRGATCTCCTTTAACCCAGGATTTGGGTGCATCCCACTTTTGGAAAAAACCCTCTGGGAACCGGCGGTGCTTCCCCTGCATGGAGAGCGTGGCCGGAGCACTCGCTCCTCTCCGCTGATTTACAGCCCGGAGCAGCGCTGGGAGGAAGGCACCGGGAGGGCTCTTCATCCTCACCCTCCGCGACCGGCAYGGGAGCTGGAAGAACCAGTGCCAGAGCACCAGGTACCTGTACCGCTTTCTTTATGGYTCCTATTTGCAAAGGAATGCTGTAAATATGAGCCCAGAAGATTTAAGAGCAACTTACCGAGCCGGGCAAGGGAATTAATTGCCTTTTACTCCTATGCAAAACGCGGCCGGGTTCCAGCCTGTGGCAAGCAGGAATGTTCCCTCCCTGCACCGAAGGCTGACCGTGTTTGCTCCGCTCTACTTCTGCGGCGGAGGGCGTTTGAGCAGGATCATGTATAGTGGGCTGCTAAACTCCACCGGTGCCACCGAAGCGCATCTGCTCATGCAGACCGATAGCCCCTGCCTGGGCAGCACCCAGAGACCCGTGAGCTCCTCCGCTCTGTACATGTCCACGGCCAGGGCGCTGAAGGACGGGGAGATAAACAAGCCTGACCTGGTGACTTACATCGTCCTGTTCTTCTTTCTGCTCTTGACTGTGATCCTCATTGTGCTCTTCATAAACTGCCAGCTGAAAAACTCTTTTTTTGCCACTCTTCCTTACGACAGATCGCTCAGAGAGGCGCGGAGCCCCTGGAAGACACAGACTGTGTGACACTGGGGACAGAGACAGTGGCATAGGGGCTTTGCCCCGAAACACAACAGTAGCATGAACCAGAAACCCTGTGCAATAAGATGTTACTTCCCTATGTCAGTGAGTGGATTCGATCCTTTTTAATAACTCTTAGCCTAAAAAATACATATATATGAAAAAATACATATAACCTTAAAAAAAAAAAAAGCTGTATGCAAATCCAAATGGCTGTAAATAGAGAGCTCTATTATGAAGAGATCAAGCTCTATGAAATTCGTACATAGTTTCATGCCAAAAAAGCACCCCACGGTTGCAGATAGCAGCAAGCTCCGTTAACTCTATATGTATGCAAATGTCATCACCGAGCCATTCAGTGCCCGCGCACGCACATTTGCATCAGCAACAGCCTTTGATTTGTGCATCTGGTGGAACTTGTGCCCATGCTTATGAAACCATAACGTCTACCAGAGAAAACACGGTCTATTTACCCAACGGCTCCACACTGAGAATATTAGTTTACTTTCCAGGCCCATTTCTCTCCACTGCTGCTGAAAACGTGTGGTAATGTAACGGGAGCCGTGCCTGGTAGAGAGAGAGAAATAAAAATGTTTATTTAGACTCTTGACTGTTATTCTGTTAAGGGCATTTTTCATGTTTTATTGCATTTTTCAATCAGGTTTTAAGTTACCAGCTATGTGAATCATTAAATACTTAAGGAACTCGTTTTCTACTTTCTTAAGCTATAAAGGAAATTGTTCACCAAGGCGGCAAATCAAAACGAGCAGGATGCGGAGAAGGAAGGAGAAAAAWTAAACATCATTAGAAGTATGTAAACTAATGGAAGGGGAGCACAAAGTGCCCCAAGYTTAACACAAAACTAGGTTAAAAAAAAAAGCTACAAAAAAAGAAAAAAAAACTAGAGCTGCTTTAACCAAGAGTATTATTTCCATGCCTTGCTCTTCGTACAAACTTGGACCAATTAGACCAAGCTGCATGGATTGGACAGTACTTGGATTTTTTTCTCAGCTTTGATCATTGCTGACAAAACACAGTTTTAGATTAATTAGCAATAAGGTTTGGTTCCAAAAGCTATACTGAAAGGTCCTGCTTAGCCTTCAGAGCTGACCTGYTGTTTTGTAGTAGGCAGGCTTTTGAAAACCTGACTTTCCCATACCATAATTCCACATCAAACTGCCCAAATACCTGAAGCGTATCCRTGGTTCCCACCACGAGTGGGCAAAGGGTCACTTTTTCCACAGCTGCTCTCCACACAACTGTGATTTTCACACACGTATATTRGCATCCAGTCCAAAAAGCAATCCCTGCTCCAATGTATGAAGTCACAAATCTATGAACTTCATCCTAGTGAATGATGCATCAGAAGAATGGTGTTSAAGTCACAGCAGACACTGTGCACATTAATCCAGTCTTAATATGCAAAGTACGGCAGAAATGTTGCGTGTAAACATGCATATATTTGCTGGTTTTATTAATCCAGATGAAACACATTTACAGTTGAACCAGATGCATAGATGGGCTTGCACCCAAACACACACACACACACACACACAAAACCTGTACAATGGAACCCTCTTTGCAAGCTCTTTTACATGAAAAACTTGCATAATTGATACACTTTCATGTTATCATCTTGGTTACCATTATTTGTTATGCTCAAATATGTTAAGATACTATTATAGGTATCCTTAATAGGTAGTCCATTTTTAAAAATTCTCATCCAACCGCACTGCATCCAAAACTGCACCAAACTGCACTTAATTTGGTGCAGTTCCAAGGAATTACTGAAATGTAAAAACAGAAAATATTCAAGCTTTGTTTAGCTCAGCATATTTTGAATAAATCAGGCTTTATCAAATCAGGCAGTTTYTATTTATTTTCAAGTAATGACAGCTTGTTTTCAACTGTCAGCCGCAATGAGCTTGGTCTAAGAATTTCTACTGGCAAAAGCAGAACCTTATAAAACACATGCTGCTTTGTATTGTACTTTTACTAAAATGTTCCTTTAAGCAGTTCCGTTAGCTTTGGAACGATACTATTTTTCCCCACGTCCTATAGTTGAAGCAACAAATTACAGGAGCCTGTCATGCTTATTGTGCTAACCAATTTATTGGGAAGGCTTTTAAGCAAGTCTCATGTTGCTCACCTTGATAAAAAGATAAAAAGAAAACAAATAAAAACACTAAAATATTTCAGAAGAAAACCTTGCTGATGATGTTTTAATCAATGTATGAAACGTATGGAAAATATGAATTATACTCTATTTATCAGGCCCAAAATGTAGGCAGGGTGCTCACATTGATCAAAACATAAATAAAAAATAATCCTGACCATAAACACTGGTTCGTGCATTGCAGCTGGTCTGTTAGTGCATGATGCCGCCTGGAGGGTCCCAACTCAAACATTCCCCTTTCCCCTTGCACTCTGCAAGCTGGATACTTGCTCCCTCCAAAGCACCTGGAGCAAACCCCACTTTCCATCAGCCTTTCCCTCGGAGATATCCAGAGTCTTGCTGGAGCCCCTGGCTTCTCCTCGATGCAGACCCAAGGTCAGTTGGGTCAACCATGGACAGGTTGAAGACCAGAAACCCAGACATGGTGCTGGGAGCACCAACACGGCTGGGTTCAGAGGCTCTTTAGAAGGACGAGTAGCCTCCAAAAAAGCCTTTTTCCTCCAAAAGAAAAAAAAAAAAAATCCAATAAAAAATGATGTTTCCCACTACTAGGGTGAAAGGGCCATGGCCATTGCAACCAACACCTGTAAGGAGAGAAAGAGGCATCCTGGGGACCGTCAAGCCTGTCACAAACCACACAGCAAGACAAAACGGGAAAGAAAATGAAGAAAATAAGAAGTTAACCGTTTCATTCCTCTTTGGGATGCCCGCAGCTGGCAAGGGCACAGGGTCCACATGGAAGGGAGAAGGACCAAGCTGAGCTCTCCGGATTGTGCTCTCCACAYGGGCGTCAAGCCGCAGGGATGGATCTGCCTCTGAGGGATGCAGGAGCTCCCCGCTACCAGCATCTCACCAGAAATGAACATCTCTCACCCGTGCACCCTGCTTCCCAGCAGGAATGAGCCACACGAAGGCTCCTCTGCAGCGCGGGTTTCACTGGGGAAGAGGAGGGCGCGAAGGAGGGTCGCTCTGCAAACGTTTCCTCCTTCCTGATTTTTACCTTTCCGACAATACCACAATTTTCAGCATTTCCATGGGAAGTATCTTTTTATCCACGGAGATTATTCCCTGGGGAAAATAACTTGTGCATTCTTCAAAGCGGCACTTTTGGGCTCCTGGTAGCACATTTACCTCTACTCCGAATGGGAGATCTCCCAAGCAAGGTCCCAATCATCTCCCCACTTCAGTGCTTTAAAAGCCAAGTACACAGGACTGTAAAATTGCATCTATTAAGATCTTTGTTTTCTCCCATTCTCCGCACTTCTAAAAGCATCCTTTTCATTAAAGAAACTGAGGTTAYTAATGTTTTAGACAGGCAATGATATTAAGGACATTTTGCATGGAAAWCATGAAATATCTACAATGCACAAGGGACAAAAACACCCCCTGTACACACAAATGAGATACTAAATGGAAAAAAAAAAACCTCTCTCTGTATTTTTTTTCTTTAAAATTATACACTTTGATGAAGAAAAGAGTACATTGCTAACCAGTGTAATCAAATTACTTGTGAAGGTCAGCAAAATTTTGTTTGCAAAAAGCAGGTGTTTGGTTTTCACCCTAGAAATTTATAAGTTTCTCTGTAATCACTACAGGCAAGACAATTTTGCATAAGATAAGCAACTTCAGCACATTTTAAGTTGTTCAAAAGGACCTAAATAAAAAAATACCAAAAGTTTTTGCATCAGGAATCATCTTGAGTGTTTTTGTAACACCTACCTCTACTGAATCTTCACCCCGGGCTACGAATTCCAGGGAGCCCTGCAGGACAAGCACTATCAGCCACCCTGTTACTGGGGTTTTAACATCAACCTGCTCATGAGCATCGCCCAGCAGCAGCCCCATCAGTAACCACTGCACCTGGGTGCAAACGGGACATACACTGTGGCTGAGAGCTCCTTCTCAGCCAACTTTAGAGGAGCAGATAGTCAATTGAGGATGAATTAGGGTAGCACTGAAATAAAACTCTATAGCTTATCCAGCATATTCCATGCAGAACATCTCTTACCTCAAGTCTTGCTGCTGCTTTTCATGCGAGTGTTCCAGTAGAACTGAGATCAGCTAAAGGCTTCAGGATAACCAACACCTTGTGGGMTGGTCCTTCAGCACTGCTGGACACCAGAGTCCTCTCAGAGTGGTTTTAGAATATAGAATATATTCTGAATATAGAATATAGAGTTTCTGAATATAGAAGCACACGGTCAGTGTCCTGCCTGGGTAAGGGACAACACACATCAAGGCAGGCAAAGGGAGCTGCCGAATAAAGTTTCTCTTGAGTCTAAACAGGCCTTTCCTTGGGCTTGCAGGACTTAGAAGCTCTTAGAAAAGGACAAGTGACTGAAGATCTGGATGAAGCAATGAGATATGAGAGCTCTAAGGAATCAACCTTTCAGAGGATTTGGTGATGGTTTTACATTGTAGGCATTAATAATCCTCCAGAATTTAGTCTCTATTCTGACTTCAGCTGTTCTCGGAAGCGCGATAGGAAGCCTGCAGATAAATGCAAGGCAGATCTCGCAAACCTCTCGATCGAGTAGGGCACGTTTTCTAATTTAAGTGAGTTACTTGGCAGCACTTGGCAGCTTTCATCTGTTTTGCTAATAAATTCAGCAACGGTTGGAGTAGGAATTCAGAACACAGAGCTGCACTAAAGCACCTTGTCAGCTCGGTTACGCTTGCATCAAGAATGCACAGCGTGACACTTCTTTACTCAGGAGTCTTTACACGGATACCAAAACAAGAGGGAATGATTGTGTTGAATGTTACCCACTCAAAGCGCTGCTGCTGGATGACCAAAAAAAAAAAAAAAAAATCACCCGTTGGAATAAATCACTTCCTCACCAATATTAATCAAGCAGTAGGATGACATTGTAGCTAAATATGTGTAGTTATAGCTGAGGGGAAGATAAATTGCGGTGCCTCAGGGCTTTTTCGGAAATGCCTTTCATCAGACGGAAAAAGACGACAGCTTATTCTGCATCTCAAGTCGGATGATTAAGACTGCTTTAAGATTTCAAGTGAAATCAAAGTCTCCCCTGGGTGGGTTTGGGGTTGTTTTTGTTAGTTAAGCTTTAGAACATAGAAGTAAAACCACTGAATTTGGCAGGTTAAATGGAAACATTTTGGGTTAAATGGAAGCATTTCTGTGCCACAGAGCACTCACTTGATGAAAACCAGCCAGAAACGCCCAGTTATACCCACTGACTTGATATCCCAGACATCACCACCATCCTGCTGAATTCATCCACAAAGTGCATCGGATCCGAGTATTGATAGAAAAAGCATTTTTCCCAGTTTTCCTCAGATTCTTCAGAACAATAGAGGAGATAAGGAGGATTTCTAGGAATAAGGAGGATTTCTAGGAATGGTGTCAGGGAAGGCAATGTCCTCAGCTGGGTCAAGGCACCTTCCAGGTGACTGATTTCTCCAACCACAGGGTACAGGACACTCCATGTTAATCGTTTAAATGACTGTTAAATAAAATGTTAATTACTTATATGCCAATTAGATATTTTTCTCTCCAAATAGTCAAAAAGTCTAGTCAAAAACTAGTACAACTAACAAAAATCTCTTTGACCCTATACAAATATTTTGAAGTTTTAACAACTACAATTTCTTCTTTAAAACGCTAGTGAAGGCTGCTAATTAACACAAGGCCACCCAAAATTTCTGGGCCAAACCCCAAATCCCCACCCCTTCAGCTAAAATCCTGGTTAAACTGTTGCAAAAGAAATTCAAAGCAACCTAAAGAGCCCAATCCAAGGAAGACGGTTACCATATGAAGATTTCGCAGAGAACTTCTGATCTTCACYCCTCCAAAAACTTGCACTAAAAAGTTTCAGGCTCGTTGGTATTTCCAGGAGAAAACAAGCCAGCAATTGTACACTTTTTAAATGAAATATTCAGCTTTGTTGTACTTTCAAGTGATGACAAACAGATGGAGAGCCAACAAGCCACTGCAACGCTTAATTTGAGCTGCTGCTCACTTGCAAAGTCTGCAGGATCCAGGCAGTATTGTTATAGGAAATGCCTACATACTGCTAAAACATATAAGATCTAAAGGGAAAGAGTTTTAGAAAGGAGAGCAAAACATTTCCTGGTTCACGATGGAAAGAAATTGTGATTTTTTAACACATGACAATGCCCTAGGGCAGTACTTAACAGTCTGGAATGATTTATCACACTCCATGGATCCTGATCGGCCTCATCACAAAAACTTATTATACTAAGAACCATCACTTAGAAGACTGTAAGAGCTTCTTTAAATATATCTGTTCTTAAAATACTTCTGAATTGAAAACTGCTTGGAAATATATTAAGAGGACAGTAGGTGTTTGCTATATTATCCTTGAGCCACTTTCCAAAATAACACACTGAAAACAGCACAAAACAGCAGAGCTGCCTCTACCCAACTGATTAGACCCTCCTTAGTAAAGTAGTGTGGTCATATACAAAATTAAATTACATTCACAGGAGTGAAAAAAAACCTCTTTACAACATACTCCTTTTCAGATGTAATTTACTTTTGAATTCTAAATGAATTTCAGGAGATAACYGATTTCATAGTGCTCTTCCTTCGCTCGCGTTTGCTGGGAAGCGTTCACAGTGAATATACAAGATCTCTCTGGCACTACTAATCCTATCACGAGCATTAACGAAATGAAAATAACAAAATTCACTGAAATAGTCATTCTCAAAACGGAAAAAAAAAAGGAATTTTGGTAAATTCATGTGCTTCTACCATTACAAGTTTTTTAAAAGATATCTTCTTACTCCTAGGGTATCCTCTACCTATATCTTCCCCTCAAGCTTAAAACATTAGGATAACACACAGTAAGAGATGCACACCAAGAAGGTCCTAGATTTCCATTTTATCAGCGTTTTAGTTTCAATATAGCCTTCATTTCAAATAAAAAAGTAGTCAATTTTAAGTTCTATTCACAATTGCCTTAAAAAAAAAAAAAAAAAAAACACACATTAGTAAGACAGCTCCTGAAGTCCTATACACATTTTCTGTAATAGCGATTTAACCATTTGTGCCAAATTGATATTGTTAGTGGGAATCAATTTTTGCTTGGTTGTATTCTCCAAGGACAACTGAAACACACATTAATGTGTTAGTCTCTGTTCCTGTGAGCTCTGTGGATTTTGTGTGGCCAAAAAGGCTTCTTAAAAGGACTATATCACACGGATGCAGAGGAAYACGTACACAGCAAGACGTAAGCAGTGCCTTACAAGGAGAGTTCATGAGTCAGCCCTTGAACACAAGCCTGTTTGCGACACACACCGAGTTGCAGATAAAGAAAATCAGAAAATAGAATCTGTGGGTTTTCTTTTTGTTTATTGAAATATGAGCAGCAGTATGCAAAAAATATCTTTAAAAACATAACATAGCAAAACCTAGTAATTTTAAAATTAACAAAATAAAAAGATGTTTAGAGTTAAATGAAAAAAATTCATTGCTAGAGCTGTGTTTCCTACAATGTAAACAAAAGCATAAAGGTTATGCTTGCAACAAACACAGAAGCAGGTTTATGGAGCAGCACAATAAAGCAAAATTATGTTGTAATCTGATGGTTTGGTCTATTGATTTGAATTCTGAATGGGTTTCCCTCCTAAAGAAACTTCACCGCTCTAAGAAAGTGTTAGTCACAACTGTCTCTTGAAGCAAAACATTAACATTTTTTTCTTTTAAAAGCCTGTTACTAGCAACACTTTGGACAGCTAAAACAATATCTTGAAAAAGAAGAAAAAAAAAAGAAGTCAAAAAAGTCAAACTACAGAAAATCTTGACACATCTTAATGTTTCCCTAAGCTCGCCCAAGAGTAGAAAACGTTTACATGGTAATATTTGGGGGTGCTGGAGAAGAGAACTTCAGGCAAAAAAAATCCAAAAGAATTACAATAATTAAAGCCATAATGTATACTGAATTATGACCTGTGGGCYGTTTCATTGTTATTTTGATTAGTGGGATGTTCTGTTAGACATCTCTCATCTGTCATACTAGAAAGTTTTCTTTTGGTCCTGTAGATACTATAACCCAATGTCATCCCTTTACGTACAACTGCTTCACACCTAATACACTTAAATGAATGTAATATGCAAGGCGCTGGATTGGCTGCCAGGAAGACTGAAGTCCTCCAAAGAGGAAAATTCAAGCTACTATGTGACTATTTTAGTGACTTATAAAGCAAGCCCAGAGAGAAGTTYACTCAGCCCATGTCTGTCCTAGGCATTTTGCTGATACGGTCAGAGCTGTTAGTTTAAGAGCTGTGGTTGGTGCAAAATAGAGAAATGCCTCAATGGGAAAAATTCACCTACACTACAAAAGCCAAACAATTTTCACTGAAGGAGACTCACTCTGAGATGGGTTGAACTGGAAAGGCTCCATCTTCCACTAAAATCCTCCTGGCTGAGCCAGTTTCTCCATCCTTCCACTTAGATCCAGAAGCAACTTGAACACTAGAACAGTGTAACAGGAGCAGCAATCTCTTATCACTATATTTAGCACATAATTAGCGTCAAAGTTCTCCTCCAACCCAGCTGTGCTCCGATATCAGGATTTCTCTTTTATCAGTAGCACTGATAATCCAAGCATGATGAATAACACCACAAACCATCAGCACACAATCTGCTAACTAGAAAGCTCTCGAGTTCTACTTAAAAGAAAAGCAGCACGTAGACAAGTCTTACTGGGACTGCCCCTGCAAATCTATCCTGACAAAAGGATAGCAGTCACAAGGATATCCCCAGCACTGCATACRTCACACTTCCAAAATATGTACATGAGCAGAAAAATGCCAGTCAGTGTAATTTAGTACTTAATGACAGCACAGAAAGTAGGTTAACTGGATAGCACTGCAGAAAGTATGGTTCAGTGCATGGGCAGCCAAGCTAACCACAAAACTAGTGCAGAGCACCAGCTCTGGCTCATGACCATCCCACCGCAGCACCCATTTTCCAATCAGTTGGCCACATCTAAACACACAAGTGAGCAGAGATGAAGCCAGGTGAAATATATTTTGGCTGAAGTAAAACCTTGTACCTACAACTGGAATCTCTCTCCTTGATGCAATGTGCCATGATATTTATAATAAAAGCTAAACAAGAAAAAAATAAAATCCTGTAGTGTCAAAAATACATATGCATTAAGTTGACAAAAGTTGGGCCAGGAGAGAAGAAATAGAAGCTGGATCCAGCTGAGCTTGCACCTTTTTCAACCAAGAGAACCATTTGTGGATTGCGGTTCTGAAGAATGAAAGATCCAAAGAGTGAGTAGCAGGCAATATTATTCCCTTTTCCTGAATATACACTTTTGTTTTTAAACACACTGAAAAAACTGCTTTAAAAACATGATATAGTAATTCCTGTACAAGAGAGCATTAGGGTTCTGATAAAGCATTACAGGTTTTCTTTATTCCTTTAAGGCATTCCATAAGAAACATTTTCATGACACGTAAACAATTTTATTCCTTTAAGGTGATGTGGCATTTAGGTACCATATGATGCACGATTCCCATGTTTGAGCAGAAGCTCTGTCACTCCAAAGAAGACACAAGAACTTGTGTAAGCAAACGATGTCTCAGGATTGCTGTAGTTAACTGCAACACACCTTTTAATGAGGGTTTGCATTTTAGAGTTTTTGGCCTCTTTCCCCCAAACACTGAACCCTTTCTGAAAAGATGTTTGGAAAAGAGGTATGACAATAAGGAGTTAAAAAATACAACAGGCCTTTTTCTGCATGCAAAGAAGTTTTGTACATAATTCACTTTTAATGCTCTTAGAATATCTCTTTCAACCTATTTTTTTTTATTATTATKTAAAGGGCATTAACTGATTTATTTTAGTGTTGAAATCCTCTACCAAGTAGCAAAACAACACAGGCAGTAGGATTCCTTATAGGTGAGACAGTAATTTCATCATCATATTAACACACTCCTTCCAATTCCCTAAAGCTGCCAATTACAGTTACGACTCTTCTGATTGAACCCTTGCCATTAAGGGCAGGTCGAGACCACTGTTTCATGTAGACTACAAAAAAAGTGATTACTTTTGGTCATTACCAACACCTCTGTATTAAATTGCACAATCTAGAAGTAAAAGCTTCTGCATTCAGTTACTAATCTGTTAAGCCACTCGCAGTCTTCAAAGAGACTCAAACTCATACTGAAAGTGAATTAAATACAGTGTAATCACAAATACTGCATAATGTCTACTGAGAGATCAAAAGGACTAACAGATTAATTCCAGACAGGTAGAATAAACAGGCAAAACACCAAAAAGGAAGAAAAAAAAAATCCTTCCAAAAAGTAGCAAGAATTGTCATTTACAAATAGTAGTGTTTATGTTAAAATAGAGATGGGTACCTAAAAAGAAATAGGCCTTGGCAACCAGATCCAAAAGGCATGAGTGTAAATTAAAGCAAGAGAGTTACTAGTCCAGAAACGTGCATGTTTACCTTGTATCAATGGCTATTTAAAATGGTGGTTAAAAGCAGTATTACAAAACTGAAGTGGGAAAAGGCTAGGATTTGCTATTCTGCATTAATACACAGTGTGTTTATGACAGCATTTTCCAATAGACAATACACGTGTTTTTCAACCACTCCAATATTTGTAAAAAGTATATTTCATGTATACACTTAAAAAAAAAATCAYATTGTTCAATCTGAGGCAAATTAGCTGTGATAAAGTCTACTTTCGCTTATGACAGATGTCAATCTTAAGATGTTTAGCAACTACCCTAAAATACAGCTTGCTAGCTGCAGCTGCACATGTTCAGTTTTATAAACATTAAAAAAACCCAAAACTATGATATGTATTTATTTTCCAAAATCAGTCTTCATAATWCTTGTCCCTACAGTTCAAAAAGAAAAAATATTTCCAGTTAAGACATATGCCTCTAAGTTCTACTTGATAAAGGGGAAAAGTGTTCTGAATTTTTCAATAGACTGTTTTTTTTTCCCTTAGGGCTCCACTGTCACTTAAGCATCACAAGAACAAATTGAAATGTAAAATCGATCAGCTATACACAATGGAATTGGTCACAAAGGGATTAAAAAAAAGTTAAACTGTAAGATCCATTCTCCATATAGCTCACAGTATCCACACTGGAAGTTTCTCTAGAATTAGAATAAGTTCACTAAAAATAAGGTTGAAGATAGTATCTCAGCACTATGAAACAGATGAGATGGGGTTAAGAGGAGAACCCATTTGTGTAAGTACTTTATCCAGCCACTGCAGGGGCCCATGAAGATGAATTTCTATCCAGCACGGGGTGCTCGTGACATCTTGTCGGTGATACTCAGCTCCCCAACCCTACAGAGGAAAAAAAAAAAAATGAATAAAACATTACCAATCAAGTGCAGAACATACTGCCTTTCTAAAATAACTGTACAATTCAGAAGTTATATTCTAAGATCCTTGTTCAAAGATAATTCATGATCAACCAACAGTTCTCATGGGTAAAAAAAATACAGGGTTTGAGGCTGCATTCCAAAGTCTGGATCGAGATCCCTGTGCTACAGGTTTGGAAGGACTACACGTGATCCTATGGAATGGGCTGCTGTCTCTGGAGCGACTCCTGGCTACAGCTACATCACATCCTCCTCCTTGCTTCCCACTCTTCACAGACTGCACAGTATTTTTACCGTAAGTGCCAATATAAACCATTTTAAGCTCCTTGATAAACGTCTTATCCTGTGGTTGGACAGGATTTAACTAGTTGAGGCTTGGCTGAATGTGTAGGCACCACCACAGCATATACAAAAAAAGGCAGGGTGAGGAGAACAGCAAACAATGTATGTGTGTATAACATAATCCAGCCAACTTGAAGGAGGAACATGGAGCCCTACCATCTTATTTAACGCAGGGCAAATGACAATTACAGAAGTTTTTTCAGTACAGAATGATCTGCACAAATATCCATTAGATTACTGCAGTGGAACAAAGTTTTCCTAACCCATTTTATTTTATCCTTGAATATATCATCATCCAGATTTCACTAAAAAGCATAGTAATTAAGTATACATAATACATAAAAAACACTAAAGTGGCTACAATAATGAAGTCTCGGTCTTGAATATTGAAGCAATAAAACACGCAGCCACCTTTCAACACAGCAAGCCTGTGCTTCTCCYTCCCGTCAATTTATTTCTCCCCTCTCCAAATTAACCATTTTCCAACATATTTAAAAATTGATTGTACCACCTCAAAATAGCTTTGCTACAGTCACAGTTCTAGTGTAAATCCTGTTGAGCAGCTCAAAGCACACACTACATTTAAATAGCCCAAAATAATGTGTTTACCTTTACAAAACTCATTCGAATGGTGCACATCTTGGTGAGCTCATACACGGCTTCAAACCCATGGTTGACAGACTGAGCTAGCAGCTGAGCAAACTCCTGATTGTTAAAAATTTTTAGACTGCAGCCACTAGGAATCTTGCACACGGTTGTGGGATGAAAGCCATGGTGGTAGTTGCAGTTCCTGCTCTGTACAAATATGCTGCTGTCGCTTAAACACTCAGCATAGACTTCTCCACCAACGTAGTAGAGATGAACCCCTTAAAAACAAAGTTAACGTGGTTTCAAGTTACTTTTTGAGAAAAAAAACAGCACTTAATACAACCCCCTTTGAACTCAAGGGACAAGCAAGCAGATTTTCCATTTGAAAAACTGTTTAGGAAAAGGATTTTTTTGGCTCTCTAAGCCCACAGCATGAAATACTTCCTCATTTCAAAAGCTCGKAGGCTTCGTTACAAATCAGCCACTAGATGTCCTTCTCCCATTGACTACAGAAGAAAATGGGGAGAAAAAAAGGCTTTTCTTCTTCACCGTGTCAACAGCTATTTCAAGATACTTTCCTAAATAAGTTCTGGACATTTTATAACTTCCACTTTTATAAAACCAGGGGCTTCTGCTTACAGAAATTTGGATTAACAATAAGAAAATCTGGACTAGAGACAACTATAGATACAAATGAGAAAGTACATCTACTGTCCGCTTAGATTTTCATTATATCCTATCAAAAAAAGGGAGGAAAGAAAAAAAAGAGGAAAGTCTAATTATCTGTAGAATTTAAACACCCTCAGGCTTCACAAATCTTAAAATCAAGAGATTCCTTAGATTCATCAGATCCACAAAGTAAACAATTCCTCTATATATGATCTGAAATTTATAGCACTGCCTTTCACACTCTAATAGCTGAACAACTAACTGAAAAAAAAAAAATTCTAAGAGACACTGATATTTTTGGTGCCCCAAGCCAGATTTCCCTGCCACTTGGAGATTCCTGCCTTCCTTCTCCCCAGTCTTCCTTTTTCCCAACATCCACAGTTAAACAGGCTGTTATGGGCACATTGGCATGTTTGGAAAGTCTTCCTTGGAATAGCCTCAGCATCCACTATCCTGTGCCTTGCCAGGTGAGGCTGCAGCAAGTCAACAGATGAAAGTTACTCTTTCAGATAGCAAAAACGCTGAGACTTGGATCCAGGTGGGAGTATGGAAGGATGAGATTTACTCAGAGGAATCACTGCCTGGTCAACTACACACAATTCGAGATCTTGKGTGGGCAAGAATATTTCCACCACAAAAATCTTACTTATTTAAAAGGCCTGAGACCATCACTTACTGGCCAATAYTTCCTTTGCATAAAGACCAAGTGAGATCTTTGAAGAAGATGATGAACAGAACAGTGTACTGTTCTAGGAAAAGAACAGGATACTTAAAAAAATAATGCAAATACATCCACCAGAAATCACTTGCGGCTTAGTGCTTCTACACAAAAAGTTTAGCAAATACAACCAGGTCATTTTAAAGGAGAAAAAAAAAAAAAAAAAAAAAACAGGAACAGGTAAAAAAGCCATAAATTAATAGTATTTTATCCTTGGTTAATATCCTGCCTTGTATGTTCTCTGATCTGTGGCCATAAAGCAGATTTTAATTATAATGTCAAGTATTAGCGGTGCAGACATTGTCAAGCTGAAGATTTAGTTGCAATYGTTACCACCTACTCCATGATCTTAGATCTTTGTCATATTTCTGACCTTGGACAACTAAGATGCCTCTGCTCATGCCACTGCAAGTGGCACCAAAACACAAGACCCTTGTGATCCCTCTTTTCCTCTCACCCCTCAAAATCATTTTTTTTCTTAAATTAACTTTTCTCTGATAATAGAAATGGAGGGCCAGGCTTCTAACAGATAGTAAYAAATCAGTCATTTTCAAATTCTCTGCAAAATTCCTATGTTTATAGTGGCTTCTAGTTAGTAATTAGAAGATGGATAAGGGACAGGAAGGATCCCGAGATGTACTAAAAGCTGACAGTGGCTTGCAGAAAAAAAATCAAGACCAATTGAACTTAACTATTTCACATGCTAAAAAGGCCTCTGGACAACATATATAACAGAAAAGGGATTCTCTTCTCAAGACTTGACTGGATAAGCACATAAGAAAGGATAAAATCATAAAAAGAATAGTACATTTCAAGATAATCCAAGCCCATTCCGGGAGCAAAACTGAAAACTGTGCATCTGTACGTGCTATCAGCCAAGCAGYACGGGAAAACTTGTAGATCTTGCAAAACCTGCTGTCCTCAGGAATCCCTCCCACACACATACACACCCCAAGGATTCATCCAGACAAATGAGCCCTCACAGTTTTGCATTAGCACTTCAAAGTCCTGCTCCCAATACATGCAAGACTTTTGAACATGCTAGAGAACAGCAGTGTAATATCCTGCATGAATCAAAAAAAAAAAAGTGGTTATGAGGAATTTTCTTTAAGAAGTAGATCTAACACGAAACTTCAGAAGTCCTGTGATAACTTTCTTGGTGCTGAAGCAGAGTGTTCCATACACAGAGTATCATTACCCATAACAAACAAGTTCATATRATGGGATAACTCAGTAAGGAAAAGGCAATATTTAATCTTTTAAATTAGTGCCAAACAAAAACATATGCAATTCTTAAACTAATTTGAGAGTCAAACCATGCTCACGTAAGTCGTCTTCAGATAGTGGATAGGCGGGCAATTTAATGCAGATTACTTCAACTTGCTTGTTGCAACAATAACCATTCTCAGAAAAAAAATCCTTGTTTTTGCATCTACTACACTTAGCTTTGTAATTACACATAAAACAATTAAGTTTTACCTTTTCCAATATGTCGTCTAGTGTTTTCAATTGTYGAGTTGCGATTAACGTTTGAGAGCAAACCTAGGCAGAACCTGTTTTTATTATTAGAGGGATCTGTAAACCCATCTACTAAGACACTTGTAGAAGATGCATGAAAAGCCTCCCCAACACGGTTATTTAATTCGTAGTACACAATTGAACACCAGTGTTTGGGTTCTTCATAGGCAACAGGCTGGACATCTGAAAATAAGCAAAATGGAAATTTCAGTTTATATAAATGTTAAAAAAAATCAATCTAGAATTGTAAAGCAAGCCCTACAAAATATCAATGAATAATTAGTAGCTTAGTCAACATGTTATTTGATGGGCAAGAACAATCAGTACTGATTAAAATCTTGACAATTTTAACTTTCACGCATTTTAGCTGTTACCTTTTTATAGCCATTTTCCTATTTTAAACCTGATGTTAAATTAAAAAGTTATATAAACAAAAATAGATGAAAAAKGATGACTATAGGTTAATCCTTTTTTTCTGATTTCAATTCCAATATATAAAACAATTTCAAGAATATGAAAATGTAGCAGTAAAAGACTCAATAATTCTGAGAAATGAAAAAAAAAGTCAATTTGTCACAAGCAGTACTACGCAATACTTTCAAAGCTGAAATAACCAAAAGCCAAATAAATAAGCAAAGCAAGTTCGGTTTTTCAGTTTCTTTGGTTTGCTTCCACAGTTCAGCACATTTTGCACCATTTGAAGTTCAATTGATACACCATTCAATTGATGTTGCCATGAGCATTAATAACTCAAAACTAATTTTACACAGTTCTCTCCAACCTACCTCTGGTAGATATATTCGGCATGATTTGAGGGATCATGCTATTGCTTGTATCCATGGACTGAGAATTATCCTGCCCCATCTGATCATCAGGGGGCATATACGCAGGAGGTGGAGTATCAGCTACAAATGAGAAGAAAAAATTGTCACAAATTCATGAAGTCACAATAAATTTTAGTATTACAGTAAAATCCTTTTTTTTGTTGGTTTTTTTTTTGTTTTGTTTTGTTTTTTTTTTTTTTAAAACAACTCCATGCTTAGGCCGTACTTACCTGGTAGCTGAAATGGACTAGATGGTCCAGAACTAGCTGGGGAACTTGGATAAGTGCTGCTGGCTGGAGAAGGTGGATAGGGACTGTTTGGCGAAATGGAAAATGGAGTGTTGTTGGGTTGCTGGAAGGAATCTGGAAATGTCGCATTATGTGGCATATGTGGTTCGTTGTGGCTTAGGTTCCTGAACTGAACAAGTAGGCTGTGCTGTGGATTGAATTCACTATGTCTAGGCACTAACACTGGAGGTAGAACTAAAATAGGAAAAAAAAAAAAAAAAGGAAATTTAGATTAAATATAGAGATAGCAGAAACAGGATACAAATGTGTTACTTCCGCTCACCATAACAATTTCAATATTAATAGGAATTGGAATAGGAGGGAAGAGAGTAGGGGATCCGACTGTCTTCCCTCTCTCCTGTTTTATTTCTCCTTTATTCTTTTAAATTATACTTCATAGAAAACTAAAMCTGAACTCTTGCAAGAGCAGAAATAAACCCACATTTAACACAACTGGAAGCAATCCAGTGTTTAGCCTTTTTTTTTGTTTGTTTTCAAACACAGTGCACATGTAGAGTGCACACAAGTACTGATTCAGAAGCATAAAACCTGGTGTAAATTATCAAATCAATGCAAAGGAAAGCCAGAGTCAATATTGCTAAACATAACAGTCAAACTAGATCTTTATATAGTACTTCACTGTGCTGCTATATGAGATTTACACTGCAAATATACAGCTATTGCCAAGCTGAAGTTTTTATTTTTAAATTCAAATAATGTGAAATACAAAATTCAAGTCGAGCACATCCTATAGCCATTTTGGGGAACCACAGCAACAGCTTTTCRCTACACTTGCCAAGCAATAAAGTTCTCTCCCACCCATAACCACGATCCTCCTGGCCCCCCGTGGCAAGGCCGCCTGAGCAGCAGAGTCGCTCCCTGGCATTTTGGTACGTGATTTGCTGAGCACTCCTAGTTCTGCCCAACTCTGCTGGCCTCATTACGAGAAGTCAGGCAAGGAGCTTTCTTCCTTGATTCATGTCACTAACAAATTAAATAGCAAATCCTTGATGAACGCTAGCAACCTTCTCGGAAGGCCTGAGGTTGATGAACAAGTTTCTCAAAGAAACTGAAGTCTTCCGACTACTGCTTTCCTATTTTATGCTAAATGAGAATTTTGCCTCTAACTTAAGTGGGAAGTAGGCCTAAATGAACCGGTGGAAAAATACGATTTATCAGAAAAATAGCTGTATACAGAATGTATGACCTCCTCCCTAAACCCACAAGAAAACCACACTTTGACATTATTCCTCCAAACAGAGTCATACACTGAATTTAATTCACTACGTGGTACCGGGGGAGGAGGAAGTGAAGAAGACGTGGCTCCTGGAGAATCTGTTGAGCTTTTAGACAGTCGTATGCAAACATACCTGGGCTTTCCACCCTCTTATAGTGGTACGGATTGATGCAGACTTCCTTCTGCTTAGATCCAAAAGGAAATTCACAAATATCCAATGGCTTCAGCTCATGATGGCTTTGTAGATCAGGCCAACGCCAAACACGACAGTAAATTACATGGGGAAGGCCTTTTCGGTGAGAAACCTGAAGTCGCCCATCTAAAGAACGGGGGATAGTAACACACTTGCTGGGCTGTCCGGGGCTGCTCAAGGCTTTCTCCAATTCTTCCATAGCACCTTTTTTCTTTTTCAGTTTTTTTACCAAAGCGTCAACAGCTTTTTCTGCCCATTTTTCCTCTTCATCTCCCTGCTTCCAGCCCAACAGGCGCTTTACAGCTGGGCTAGTAAAGGAGAACAAACTGGCCATTGACGTCATTTGACACAAGTCTTCTAAAGGTTTGTTGGGCTTTTTTCTTTTTCTTTTTCCTTTTTTTGCAAATAAATGTCAGTGTATACAAAAGCAGTTATTGCAATCGTATTATTCCTTAGAGGCTAAGGGTCGCGATGAAGTCTTCACATCGAAAGAGATGATTCTTCCAATTTAGTTCTATTAAAAAAAGAGTTAGCATGTGATTAGCAAATAAGAACAATAAAAACAAAGAAAAAAATACTAAATTCTTCCTCCCAGGAGAAATGGAGATAACACAGAGCTCCCAGTTGTTCTATTATCGATTAGCAGGAAAAAGAGAGTGAAGGACCAAAGCAACAGCATTGTTCTGTTAAGAGTTATCAAAAAAAAATCATAAAATCACATGCATCATAATATAATTGACGGAGAATGAAGCCAGGTTTTAGATAAATGAAATACAAGTATGTTTCCAACAGGTAAACTATTGTTCACTGAAGATTTAAACTGGCCATCAAGAACTACAGAGAATACAAGGTGGAATCAGGACTTTCACAGGAAGCAGCCTACAGAAACATTCAACATCAAAAAGCATCTACATGTTTGAGGTCTAATCAAGTACCCTATTATTTTTAAAGAGTATACAAAAATAGGAAGAAACTGTAGATGGCTAAAAAGAAAGTCCAAAACACACCAACCTCCCCAGAGCAACCTCCCTCCAGCCATTCAGAAAGGGGGTCAATCTTTTCAGTCACCACTATTTTTATGTTGAACTTCCTTGTGTCTTCTAAGAGGACTATCTGAAGCACTGGATATTTTTAGCCTTTGGCAAAAAAAAAAAAAATTGTTTTCCTCTCCTCAGAAAAGAAGGGGGTGGGGGGAGGCATGGCAGAGTAAGTACTAGAAGTGAGACCTCTATTACAAACTGCATTAGAAATGACAGCCTGAACAAAACAATCCTGTGCAACTCATACCCTGCTCATGAATGGTGATTTTTTTTTAACTACTTACAAATCCTAGTGCAAACCTGTTGTTTTTTTTCCCCCTCAAATTAAAAGTAACGATGACAAGAGGAAATGATGTGCTGTGGCAACGAACTGATAAGAACTTATAAAATCCCTTGTGAATACTAAATAAGCAAGTATAGACAATGAGCAGCTGGCAAAATGCAAGAGCAGAGCTAGGAGAAAGGATGTCAACAACAAAAGATGCTTCCTTTCTTGCTACAGAGACTGCCAAATAACATTGTCTCTCAGCTTTTGATAAACGGTGGTGAATCAGCACACCTAACATACCTTAGGACGTTAACTCTGCACAAGGGAAAAAGAAAGAATTGAAGATTTCAGTCCCCCTGGTTCTCCTGCATCACTTTTCATCAAGGGGATCTTTTTTCCCCCCTCTTATCTCTGATTAACTAAAAGATATCACCCAATAAAGCATTTTTAAATCTTTAGACATGTTTAGAAAAACACATTTAGATCCATGGCTGAGTGCTTTCCTAACCAATTTAATATTTCCTAACCAATTTTTTTCATAATCAATTTAATATCCCCAAAATAGCTTTCAGGGTGCAAAAYGATTTCAGGACTCTTTTCTTTCATGAAAAGAAAAATGAACAGAAATACTGGTTAAACATCTTCTAAATTGTCATAAAAAAAATACAAAGAAGACATGGACAGAGATCTCTTAGTAAGCACTTATAAGACTATTGGAGATAAAAAATAAAACATTTGAGGGATATAACAATAAAAAAAAAAAAAAACCATCACCAGCTTTCTTAAGTAGAACATGCCTGCACCTTACGTGTAAATAGTTTCCTAAAACAATTATACATATGAAATCCTTTGCATCCTTCAAAGTAACAGGAAATACATAAAGRGCTGGCTAAGAATACAGGCTAATTTTCTTTTATTGAGGATAAAAGTTTAGTCTTCTGAAAAGTAAAAGCTGTTTATAGTCACAATTAACCTACTTTCAGGCCTTGGGACACTCAATAGCTACAGGATTTCAGTGGTTGCTCACACTCCTAAAAAAGGAAATGAACCCACCTAGAATCTCAGAACAGGGAGAAGACAATTAAATTTTCCACTTCTCACATTTGCTKTCACAAAATCTTAAGTAAGGGCAAAAACATTCTGCTAAATAATTTTCAAGAGAGAGTGTGTCTTTTTTAAACTAGAACAAAAAGAGGAGAAACGCACAAGAAATATTTACAATGGATAATGATAGCACATACATACACTAGAAATTCCCATAGTTATGTAAAGCTCAAGAGAGATGAAAATAGACCCTCATGAGGCTTCCATGACTTTTCCAGGGCGGTGTATTTTTCATGGTTATAGAGAGCAAGGGAAAGCAAATCTACTACAAACTACCAATAAGCTTTTAGCAGCACAAATGACACTGAACTTTTCATTACAGGCCTTTGACAAGGCAAWGTAGTGACAGTTTACTGTTTCTCTTAAGAAAAAAAAAAGGTATAATTTAAAAGGTTCGTGTACTATTTGCAGACCGACTATTTGCAGCTTTCTTTTGCAGCTGCAAATGGTCCTCAAGCACTACGTTTAGGCATTTACAGAAATTAAACATCTTCCACAGTTTTAAAATTTTTGAATGAAATGCATTGACCATCTTGTATATTTATATAAATATAAATAATACTATAAAAATAATATAAAAATATGCCATATGTATGTTTTACATAATTTCAGCATCTAAATATTGAAAGATTTGTATGTATCATGAAACATTCTGAATAGCTTCAACAGCCCTTCTAAATTTAGAGACATCTTCTGAGGCTTTAAGTGCACACCTGATGAGTTGAGACTGAAGCATAAGAATATGTCACAATAATGTACAAGAGTAGAAATAAATGTTTAAGAGCTGCTTTTCATTCAGATCATTGCACCTCTCTGGAAGCAGAAGGTAAGAACTTTCACGGGGCAAAAAGCTCGCCTGAATTTTCTTAAGAGACAGATGGTCTGATAGTCATCATGCTCTTTATTTCAATGACTTCTCATCAGAGCTACAAGAAAACATAAGCTGAAAAACATATTACACTTTTAAAAGAGATTAGTTACAAATGTTCTTTATAAAATGAGTGTAATTCATTGAATTACACTGGTTAACAGTATTTTGGAGGATGACCATAAGAGGAAGTAATCTCTGCATCTAAACTAGACTTTGGGGTTGACATAACTTGAAGTTCTTGCTAACGATTACAGCATGTGGAAGAAAGCAAGTTGTGTGAACAAGCCCATTTTGAACCCTTTCTYAATACCTCTTCAACCCAGCTACACATAACCAGCCTTGTTTAACAGCAAAACTCATAAATTAAAATTCATTTACTGGGAGAGTGGGTAGGGGGATAGAAATAGATGTTTTTCATCCAYCACTGTAAACATTAAACATTTCAATTCATTTTTGATTCTTGGGGTATATTAACCTACTGTATGCAATTGGCAAATCCAGCAGATTTAACTTGGTTCCATATCTAAAAGGGCCCGGAGGAACTCTGGCCAGAACAAATCAATATGAGATTACATAAGGTGGATTTATTTTGATAAGATATCCTTTTTATACAACATGTTCTACCACTGAAGCTCTGAGTTTCCTATCAGCAAAACTCCAAACCTAAAGTGCAGTTACCTCATGCAGCATGATAATGAACATTTTTCAGAAGCATAAGAACAAAAGTGGTAACAACTACCTGATCCTCCCCCTTTCCCACTGTCAACACTAAGCTTGTATTTCAAATGAACATGCACTACCCTTTTCCTGCTTAATTCACTGGCTTGCAAACGAAGAGAGCTTCCGGTAGCATCGTACCCAGTCTGAAGCAAGGAACAGCACTGCTCGTGATTAGAAGCTGCTTCGAGACTCAGTTTCATAACATAAACAAACCACCCTTATAACTATCTACACAATTGGGAGTTCATTAGAATTGCTTCAGACTTGCCAGTTGAGAACTGTGTGTTGCTGTCAGCACTTGTGCCTAGCTTTATTGCCCTTTAAAAAGTAGAAATGCTGAAGTATGCTCTATACGTACATTAACAGGTTATAGACTGAACACAGAAAGCTTAGAAATGCAGTTAGAGTGTACTATAGTATATTTTACAATATTTGATTATCAAAAGGTTTTTTTTTTTTTACTACAACTTCACTTTACCTGGTTTTATGAAACCTTTTCTTTATAAATCTCTTGATAGAAACTGTGCACAGTAGGTTTTTTCCTAATCATTGCCTCAATTCCATTAAAATATATATATATTCACTGAACACTACCTACATACACACTCTTTTCCATGTTATGCTGTAGTCTAGCACCTGTACCCATCCAATGGCATTTATTAGTCTTTTCTTCAAGACAAAAGTAGGAGATGCACTAGCAGCACAGCTTTTCCACGCACAAATAAATAAAAATACCATCCTTCTCACACCAGCATTGACAGCCTTGAGGGACATCCTACTCATGAAGGAACAATTATTTGCTTCCCACTTCCCCTTACAGTGGTATGAAAACAGATCTGCTGCTGGACACTAACTAGGAATTACGGGCAGTTTCATCAAAACAGGACTTGGATATGTAACTGTACATCCAGTTGATGGAAACCTGTAGTAACTGCTTTTATATTAGCACTGAATTTCTTTATATTGTCTTAGAAACATGCTTGAAGCAAAGTATTTTGTCACTGTGAGTCTATACATGCAAAGGATAACTGAAAAGATAGTACAACATCTTCAAAAATTTTACCATGACTGCTGTTCAAACAACAAAAAGTATGAAAAACTTCATACCCTGTTTTCCTTCAAAATGCTTGTTCTTTTTACTTCCATATCTGTACATCATCTAAAACAGTTAAAGAAAATTAAATACATAACTCTTATCTGAGAAGTATTTAACCAGCACTCTCTTGAAAGAAATATGACAATAACTCTGAGTCCACACATAACAAGCAAGTAAGGCATGGAAGAATTGTTATCACAAAAGCTCCAACTCAGTTGGCCACAGAAGTTTAATGATGCAAAAGCAATGCTGCTGTTTTTTCTTAAAGAGTCTTTGCATCAGTCAAGGAAAAACAAAACACCCACAAGTAGTAATTATTTCTGTCATGAAAGAAGTCCCAGACAGAAGTTCACTGATAGTGCTCCAGCGCATTTCATTTCAAGGGCATCCTCACCTCCAACTTCTGCCAAGAGAAGCTGAGCAAAAAATGCAACCAAAGAACAAATAGTTTTGAATTTGTTCTGCATCACGACAAAACTCATTTTCTCTGAGATGGGACACGGAAAGAGAGGGAAGAAAACAAAACAAAAAACAACCCTCCCAAACCCTAAAAAAAAAGCTCCCATCTATTTCTTCCACTTAAAACACAGAAATCCCATGTTCATAAGCCCCTGGTCTCTTCAGGCCTTCATTACTGAGTAATCAGCTTTTTAAGAAGCTCTCAAACCCTACAAATTCCATCCAAACACTAAAATGTCTCCTATAAATGTTCAGTTAGAACCGTGTGTTTTCCTCACACTTTCTAACTCTCTCTTGAAACCAAACTGGTAAGCATAACCTGAAAACAGAAACTGTACAGACTTTCATAAAGCTTTAAAGAAGAATAAAAAGAAAGTAAAAGAAAGTGAACTGCATTAAAACTGTGACAAGTCTATAAAAACTACAGGGTTTGGAGGGAACACTGACAATAGTAATTCACTAAGCTTTCCCCCTCCCTCCACCCCTTGCACAGAATGAATGAAAGGCAAAGTATTCTAAATTTGTCAGTTTGTGACATGCGCTGACCCAGAATTCAGAGACACTACCTCATAGTTGGAGGATCAGTAGCAGCTACTCTGACAAAGCTCCTCTGTCAAGGATGACAGTCCTGGCAGGCTCAACCTTGGTGGTAGGTCAGTGGGGATGCAGACTTGGCAGGCGACGTCCTGCACCTTGCCAAGCCACCCTGGTCAAGCGCTCCGAGGTGCCAGCCAAACTTTTCTACGTGGTCACAGGAAAGCTGCTGAGAAGGTTTCCAGAGAGCAACTTACATCGCAACTAATGATAACAGCAAAAGTCGTAAATTACTGTTCAACTGGCTTTTAAYGAGTTCTTCAACGCTAACCATGAAATGCCTCAAGTGGTCTCGGTTTGCCCAAGAAAACTTTGAATTCGGAAAACAAGCTGCTCTCCTCCTTTCAATAAACTGAACTTGATGCCATTAGAGTTATATAAAAGTATTTTGAAATGAAACATCAGCACATGAAGAATTATTTTGAKGAAGCTATCACAAACATGAAGAAAAACCTGCATTTCCATCAACATGAAACATCAAGCTGGTGGGCAAGGAAAAAAACGGGGACTTGCATAAAACTGCCACAGAAGCAGCCCTTCTGCTGTAATTCAGCCAAAGGAAACAAAACAAAAGACTTCTCGGATTTTCCTTCGGACAACTGTGAAGAAAATATGSAGAACATCCCCTTGCAATTAAAAAGAGTTCTCTGGAATATTTAAGATACCAACATAACTTGCAAACACAACTCAAGTAAGTGGTAATGCACACTACATTTAATAAAGTGTTTGCACTCTTTCACATGAGAGGGAATTCCATTCAACYCTGATTATACTCTATTATTATTATATGAAAATTTAAAAAGGACATCTACTCAAGTTGTAAGATTAAGAATCTGACTGACAGAAGTATGGGATTCACAGCAGTGACTCCTTCAGGTTTGATTACATATTAAAATCCTAAACAAACTAAAAATCTGCATAGCTGCATGGAGCATCATACCTCTTTGTTGGGATTTTGCCATCAGGAGAAGAAAAGCACAGGGGGAGTTTCTCTCTGCTTTCCCATCTCTCCCTTCCATCATAGTTTATCTCAGGGGCTTTCACCAAGAAAGAAAAAGGACAATTCCTCCCTTACCAGAGTGCCCTTATTTCAAGGAGAAATGTCTGTTTGACAAAGACAGGTATCTCAATAACCAAATGTGGTTTTGTTTTTCCTAAAGTAACTGGCTTGGAACACTTTGCAGCAATTTCCAGGCCAGGTGAACGCAATCCTACCATCAGAAGTAAGAGTAAGCCACTATCAAACGGGAAGGATTAAGACAKTCAATCCAGCAGCACCCTACGCAGACACGCTCTCAGAAATTACAACATGCCAATTATGAAACATCTTCAATTAAGTTATTTGCTGCTTCCACTAACTTTCACTGCCAGCAGATGCCAACTTTGTGAAGCTTTTGAAAAGCATGTGCACGTAACTGGGAAGTGTTTGCACCGTTTCCCTGCCCCATCTCTTCAATCAAATCACAGAATCCTTCAGAAAGTCAGAGGAATCTTCACTAAACGTAAACTGCGTAAGTTTTGTGCAGAACAATACTCACTTCAGTATTTCAAAGCCACGCTTTGAAGATAAGTTATCTGAAGTCCATAAAGGAATGAAAACCAGGAAGAGCCTTCACCTCTAAGCAGCACACATTACAAAGGTAATTTCCCCAGAGGAAAACACAACTTTTAGTCTAATGCAAAACTTGACAGTTATTCCTCACAGCCTTTTTTTGTTGAGGTAGACAGCCCAGGTTACTTGCTAAATAAGATCTCCATGTTTGTACAGATTCCACCTAAAGATCCAACAACTAATAAGCCTTGGGAAACCAGTCCTTCCCCACCTCATCTTACACAGAAACACATTCAGTGGATGAACTTAGCAATCCCACCAGGAACTGCTCCCCAGCTGGAGGAGCACATGGATCACTTGATTCCCAGTCTTGTGCTTTAACCGCAAGACCACATTTCCTCCCTTAAGCCGACAACCCAGAGCAAACCTAAAACCTGCCATTCTGAGCCGGCCTCGCGCCCCATCTGCTCCCAAGGTGCTGTCAAGGCCGGAGGAGGCCGGGGAGGCCCGGACAGACGGATAAGTGGGTGTCCCGACACCACATCCCCCCAAAACTGCCTCTTTCCCAGCGACGAGGGCCTCGGAACACGCGGATTTATTTATCCCGGCTCTTCCCCGCTCCCCTGGCGCTAGGCCACGGCGAGCAGAGTCCCTCCTCGCCGTAAATAAATAAATAAATGGAAATTAAGAAGGGGAAAAAAGAAAATCAACAAGGGAACTCTCATTAGCATTCTGGCGGCTCCCGTGCAGTTACGTGCACGGGCTTATTTTTCACCGGGACGCTGCGTGTTTTAACATTAGGCCAATTTTAATATGAACGTCCCGGCCCGTCTCCCGCCCCCCCCCGGCCCGCCCGCGCCGCCAGGCGGGCCCCGCTGCCCGCCGAGGCCCCGCGGCCCGGCCGCGCTGTCACCGCCGGGCCGTGACTCACCTCACGCGGCCCGTGCCAGCCCCCTCGGAAGGAGAAAAAAAAAATAATGCAAAAAGGTGAAAAAAAAATAAAAATACGAAAGTTTTCGAGAAGCGCGCGGGACTTTCCCCCGAGGGGGGAAACCCCAACGGCGGCCCCGGCCTCGCGGCCCCGCTTCCCCGTCTCGCCGACCCACCCGTGGCGGCGGCGGCCGCCGAGCACCGTGCGCGGGGCTCGAGGCGCCGGCCAGGCCGCAGCCGCCCGCGCTCAACAAAACTTTATTCGCAGCCCGCGCACGGCGACAACGGCGGCGGCGCCGGCGGGGGCCAGCGCGCCGGGACCCGGATGTGCGCGGCGGGGGGCGGGGGAGGGAGCGCGCATGCGCTCTGCGCGCGGGGAGGAAGCGGACGGGGCGGGAAGCGGCGCGCTGAGGGGAGCGGGGGAGGGGAGAGGAGGGGGCGGCCGCGCCGTTCCCCTCCCGCCCGCCACAGAGCGCCCGTGTGCGCCTCGCGATGGCGAGGGCGGCTCCAGGGCGGCTTTTATGAGGGAAAATGTACCCGTCTGAAGATGGAGGAGTTGAAAAGAGCCGCCCCTGCCTTGAGGGAGCGCTGCTCGTGGGCGCCCGTGCTGTAATGGCGCCTCGCTGGCAGCGCGCCCATTGCGCTCCGCGGCCAGGAGGGGCTTTGCGCGGTGCTGGCACCGTGGCTGCGGCCGCTGGCTTGGATGTGCAGGGCCCAGGGACAGCTAATARCAGTGAAAGAGTGTGGGGTTTGGTTCCTTTACCAAAAAAAAAAAAAAAAAGTGTTAGGATTTTCATGCTAATGTGAGGCAAACTTGCACTGAGGTGCTGCTGAGTGGACACTCAATGCACAGGGATGAAAGTACAGGGCCAAAACCACCACCTTTGTGTCACAACATTGTCCAAACTTGATCAGTCATGATTACAGTACTGAGAATTGCTCATTTCACTTTTTTTTSTTTTTGAACTATGTAAATCAACTGATGCAAAGGTAAACTAAAGAAGAATTGGGTTTGAGGCCTTGAATACTGTCCCATRATTTGGCGTAAGAACGGTCTCATATTATTAGATGGTCTAAGTAGCTGCTGTTGAGAACCCCCAGTTAAAATAAATTTCAGCTAAACTTGAAGGCTGTGTGTACATTCACTGAAACCAAGAGTAACATGACCATGCAAAAACTTCCCATAATAATGAAAAACTGGAAAAAAAAAAGTCTGTTTCCCTTACAAAAGAAAAACATAATTTAGAACAATGAATGCTACGTCTAACTGGGTTGCTTTGTTATCCATGAAAGTGGTGAGCCTGCAATCAAACTGGATGGTGACAAAACTAGAACTGAGTGCCCCTCGGTTTGAAAGCAGGTGGAATTCCTCACCACAAAAGTGCTGAAAAAAGTAATTTTTACATCAGAGACAAGAATATCCACAGGAAGAAGAAAGTATTTCACACCTCAGCCCACAAAAAAAGATAAAAAAGTTTCTGTACAGACAGATCATTTCATAATCCGATGGGTGTCTTCCTCCAAAGAGGCTGGCAGTAGCCTTTTCAGACATGCCACTGAACTAAACTGAACCCTGGTCTGATGCACTATGGAAATATTTACAGAAGAGTTTCTTCCTCTGGCAAAGTTATCATGTAGGAACAGATAGACTGGGCTGAATCATCATTATATATAAGAATATATCTCTATTGTCTATGCMAGTTTGCAGCAGTTACAAATCTGGCATAGCAGTTGCACCTGGCACACCGTTTGAAAGTTCCTGTGAATTCCTGTGAAAAATTGAATTAAATCTTATTTTTGAAAAAAATATATTAGTAACAAATCTAACGGAAAGCGAATATATATAATTTGTATGTACGCAAATACATAAAATTAAGCCAAAAAGAAGCCAAACAAAATGACATGCATTTTTTATTTGTGTAAATTAAGATTGAAACAACTAGGAAAAGGAAAGCACCAAAAAGCAACGTAAAACTTGCAGAAACTTGCAAAATACCCATCATGCCAAATTGAAGTTTCAATTTCAGATGGGTTTGAACTTTGGAGAAATTTGCTCCTGGCTCATATCTCTGTGTCCTTGATTATTTTTATTGTAAACGGAAGTTTTCAACACCAGTATAGTGTGATCATATCTGTGCAGAGGTCAACTAATAGCCCAGCAATGAATCTCTGCTACCGCTTATGACAGTTCTGGAGGAGCAAGACTTCAGTGTTGTTTAGTCAAAGAATGGAGCTAACACCCTTTGGGGATTCCTGTGTGTCTCTGCACCAGCAATTGTTTTATTTTGGCCAGGGAGACTGAAATAATGGGACCAAAAAAAAAAAAAAAGACCTGTTGGTCCTTTTCCAAATCTTTTGTGTTGCTTAATTAATAAACCAAGTGACAAACAACAAATTGGCAGCAGGCATTTTAGGTGTTGTTCATGTGCCAGCCGTCATGTCTCTTACGAAACAAAATGTTCTCTTATGGAGGAGTTACAAAACAGTTGCGTGTGGTCAAAAGGSATTGTGGTAGCAGGGGGCTACTATGTGCTTCTTCCTACAGAGGTGGTGGAGGTCTAGTGAAGAAAGCTGAAGGTCTCCATGCAAGTAACATAGCARAAGTGTAAGCGGTATCAAGTTCTCAAGTTAGAACTACAGACAGGGTAGTTACGTCTGTTTGTAACACAGCAATCCTCAAAAAGCAGCAATCCTTAACCACACTATACAGACCGTTTTGTTGCAGGGAAATAATGAATTATTATCCACCCAATTAAAAATAGCTTTCCTCATTTTGGCCATTCTGCATACTAATTCTTTGTCTTATGTTGAGCATGCAAAGACCAAATACACAAACCAAGTCATCTCCTTCTAGTCAGTGGGATTAAAGGACAGAGCAGATGACATGTGATACCTAATGATTCAGGTCTGTGCATCCCTGAGGTCACAGTCAAATTGACACCACTTACACAACTGTCTAGTTCATGGCTTCCATCCCGTAAACCAGAGCTGCTCTCTAGTGCCTTGCCTCAGTACGTGCACTGTAATAACAAGTTCAATAAYGAGTTTGCAACCAGCAGGCTCACGTCATCCTGAACCCACTTAACAGAAAACAATCCTCATTTACCACTCGTTTACAGCAGGCCTAGATTTTTCAAAGTGTAGGCATGCAACTATGGTGATCTAAAGAAAAATAAATAGATAATCTTGAAGTTATTTCAATGTTTTAAGCATCAAATGTTCAGGTTTTGGAGGGACAAATGCAGAAATATTTTGTCCTGTCTTGATCACCTAGAATACAACTATATAGCTTGGATTCCTCTGTCCATAGTGGTAGGGCAGTCAAGAAAGAAAATCTCCTAAACCTATGGCTGAAGTTTATGTTGGAGGTAGCTAGAACATTACAAACTGCTCAAAGTACAGAGCAAAGATCAGAAAAATTACCACTGTTTTCAATCGGGACTTGTATGTGTGTGTCTCAACTTACACTATTTTGATTTTCGACCCAGATTTTGAATGTGATCTTTGCATTTCTTAATGAAAATTAACTAGATTGTTTGAATTATAAGGAAATAGGCTTGAAAAAAAATTGCTTTATTATGAAACTTATGGGCTTCCTGTAATGGCATTGTTCAACTGAATTTCCTACCAACTTTCTAAATTGCTGGTAGGGCAAATTAAAAAAAAATTACCATGTTTGCACCCATGTCAAACATTTGTGAAGCCACTCTGCAACTATGTTAGGAAAACTATAGTGTGAAAGATGGCTTACACATTTAAACCAAATCCAGCTTAAAAACAGAATCGGGGGAAATGGATAGGAGAGCTCATGAAAGCTGCACTCGCACAGCTGTCAGCTGAGAAGAAATGGGGGAAGGGGGAAATGCTGAGAAAGGAATTTTCCCTGGTTTTTTGGCCATGAGAAGAGGAACATGCCATCCCTATTCGAAAAGTCTCAGGGTGGGAAAGGCTAAGGAGGGGCTAACATACTATACATACCTTTATATGTATTTTTGAGGCAGAAAAACACTTACTTTAGAGTGGAGTTCAGCAAGTGGAAAGGGAGGCTGCATTAATTCAGGCCATTTGGTCGCTTAAATAACCCAGCAATTTACAGCACGATGAGAACGAGCACAATAGATGGCAAGTGGCCGCCTCGCAACAAGGCAATACGAGTGTTACGTACATCACATCGCACGTGCAAGGAAGTGAAATCCAAATGAAAAGAAAAATAATTGTTTAGTGTCTGGAGGAAATATATTCAAGTGTTTATCTACAAGGCTGCTGTGATGATAAACGCGCTGGCTCGCAGCTTGTGGATTCTAGGAGAGTAAATAATGCGCCCTGTTATTTCGGTAGCCACTCTTTGGGATATCTCACATTGCTGGCAGCTCACACAGCAGTATAGGAAAGGGGAGAGGAATGAATAGTCATGTCCTGAAGCTGCACATCGAAGACATTAAAATGAGATTGCAGATGAGAGGAGGGAAAGGCAAGCCAAAGCAATACCTCCAAATACGCTTAAAGCTGCACACTTCTCGTAATAGTCTGGAGGAATAAGTGAGATCAAAGAATACTGATACATCTACGAAGACCTTGTAAATAAAGACATTATGTAAAGAGTTTGCCAGTTCAGCTCAACCCTATCTTTTCACACTCTAAATGTGTTTTGCTTATTTAAAGAAAAATATAAAGAGAGGGAATGGTATGTCCTGACCTGAAAGCCAACCAGAAGTGCAAAACTGAACCTAAAGGAAGCAAACGTCTAATGCACAGACAAAAAGTTAAAATTGTAGGAAAGGAAAGAGATGCTGTGGAAAAACTAAGATACATAGRAAGTGATAAATAAGGGAATTCTTTGCCTGAGAACCCTCAAAATGGTTACAAAATCCATATCAGAGTGTAAATGCTCTTCCATTATAACTGGTAGGAAGATTCTGTTCAGAGCAATAGCAGAGGAGGTATAGCAGGGATGGAAACCTTCCTGCAGAAATGGAAAGATTGTCCCAGTGGATTATTACAAAATAATACACAGAGGAAGTATTCAAAAAAAAAAAAAAAAAAAAAAGGATTGCTTTGAATATTCTGCCATATTCTGCTCTTTTTCTGCTATTTTTTCCA